TTAAAAGCAGCCTATACTACCTGCAAAGTGAGTACAGCGCCTCTATTATATAAGAAAACCACCTATTAGCTTTCCACACGTACAGGATGCAACTACAAAATGTCCATCGGGACTTTATTTTCACCTTGATTTTTCTTCAGAATGAAAGGGTATGGTCTTTTGTTGTCTCAGCTAATGAACTCGAGACCCTTTTCTAAACTGATTGTCTTCTAGGATACCGTTTTATTCTGGACAACACGAATAAAGTAGAAGTGTTTTCGGCCATTACTGAAAGATTGATGAGGCTTCATGGGATCCCGAGACATTTAAATGAAGAACATAAAGCAGTCGCACTTGAGTTTATGGAGAAAACCCGATTTTGATGAATTGGACGCAAACAAAAACCTCACGCCACGAAAATATTATAATGTTCTGTTTGCGGTTTTCAAGTGGGCTTTGATGTTTGAACCTCAGAATACCGGCTGCTTAAGAGGTGTCGATTTAACTTGGCTGCCTACAGCTCAAACGACGACGGTAAACAGGAGTTCGAATATCATTTTCAGCAACCTCCAGTTCATGGAGGAGGAGGAGGAGGAGGAGGAGAAAGGGTTTCAAGTAAACTCAAAAGTAGCACATGCCTCCTGATTAAGCAAAAGTCTATATATAAGCCAAACCTAGTTTTAACGTTGCAGACTGTAGAAATAGAGCTTCTTACTATTAGGAGGTTTTAATCTGATAGCGGAATCAAGCTGCCGACCTCTGGACTTCCAACAGAGTGATTTTCGTCACAAGTTAATAGTAGTATTCATCGGGGGCGAAATCATCTGGTATTTCTAAAAAGGGAATTTGTTTGAAACAAGTATTATGAAACAAGTATAATGACCTCGACCGACATCTTCGATTTTCATTCAGTTCTTCTGTAGAAGAGGCGAAAATGCCGGCCCAGTAAATGTACGGTAGGAGAGGATGTAGGCAGTTTCTGGACATGTGTTTTTGATATTCTCTCCCACAAATCAGTGTCTGTCTGAGGTTTGCACGTGGTCAGATTGTGACATCCATGTATCACCATTTGCTAGCCATTTCTCAAGTCTGCATGACGAAAATTCCGATGTTCGGGTGGCCGAAGGGCGCTAATTTACATTGTAAATTTGTGCCTATGAACATAGCCATCCAGTCGAAGGAATTTTGGATTTTAATTGCATATAGCTAGGTTAAATGGAGCTAGAGCAAGATGAATAGACCCCTTTTAAAAGTATTCGTTTGTTTTCACAACACGCCTTAAGTTATCTAAGCCTGATGACACCTTCAAATGCAGGTCTTATAATAGGTTTTGCCTTATCTGTGGGAACAAGGCTGAGAAATTCAAAGAAATCCGTATACAAGCGGATTGTGAATACTACGCACACTTTGGATGTCCATAGAGTCTCCCCCCGGTCTCACACAAATTGAACTTCGTATGAAAAAATCGCACAATTGTTTTTTTTCCCTACTCCAGTTCTTGCTTGTTTTATTCTACTCAACTTATGGTGGCTGTCTCTCTCGCACTTTCTAGGAAGGCGGAATAGCTTTGGAAGTAACGTCAAATAGAATTTGTATTAATTTTTCTGTGTACGAACTGAATTAATTCTCACTTGTGAAAAACGTCGCGTCAGAAACATATTTTCCGGTGGGAATTAAATATTCTTTCGAATTCGAAACACGTTTCTGTATTTGCAAATAGTATTTGACTATACGGTCCAAGGAAACATAACGTTTCATTAAAGTACGGTTTTATTTAATGAAAAAATCTTTGGCTGATGGTGCAGCATCGAAAATAAAAAAATTCGGAAGGATTTCGTTTTTTGCGTTTACCTTAGAAACAAAGAAGTTATATCAGAAAGTATGACTCCACTGTTTTTTAACTCCTGAGCTGTCACTGCTCTCGAATAGGTTTGGTGTATTTGACTTATACCCATGCCATGGTAGATTTCTATATTTCTGCCAAAAATTTTAGAACGAGTGTAAATTAGATGCTAGTTGAAAAAGGGTTAGGAGCTCCAGTTCTAAGAGAATGGATAAAAATGATTATGTCACTTGAAATAGCTAGATCGCAGTTGGTAGCCAGGCCCCGCATTACAGGTGGCTGGAGGGTTTGTTTGTTGGGGTTCTTTTGTGAAGCTCTGTAATCACATGTGACCTACTTCGTTTCTGATTTACGGTTGAGGTTAGGATTAGGGCATCGGTTAGTATTTTCCGATTTTCGGCTTAGGGTTATGTATTTAGGTTCAGGTTTTCGGGTTACGGTTGGGATTTGAGCGTACAATTAGGTTTAAATATTACGGTTAGGGTTTTCATTTACGCCTATGCCTAAGGGCTGCAGTTACGTTTACAATTTCGGTTAGGATTGTCGTTAGAGTTGACGGTTAACGTTTAATGTTGAGGTTAGGGTTAAGGTTAGGATTAAGTTTAGGTCACCGTCCAATTCCCATTCCTGGCTACCAACTGCGGTCTAACCCTTGAAAATATTCAGCCTTCTGGAATCCCTCCTATCAAGAAGTACCAATTTGCTCTGAGAGCAATCTAATTCAAATGAAATCGCCTATCACACAGCAATGTTTTGTTAGCCAGTGTCCGGTCGATCAGCGTCATCAAGGGAAGGATTAAAATTTGTCTTCTACTTACTTCATGAGAAGATCGAATTTGAGATATCTTGGCGTATTTTGCTTAATTTTGTGCAGTCTATGAGGCACACAACCGGACGGCTGCCTACGTTTTGACGAACGGTTTGAAAATTTCAACGCCCATCAGTCTGCTTTTTTCGAGGGAGAGAGTAAAAATGACAAATATTAGTGTGGGCATGAATGCAACACAAAATTATTCCATTTATTATGAAGGGATGTGTATGATCCAACGACAAATGTTGTACACTTATAAGGTCACCTAATGTGCCAGCATTTTATGTGCCTGGACTTAGGATGTGACAGAACGCGAATGGTGAGTTGTGTTCAGATGGAAGTAGTTGGTATTGGCGAGGCATAGAATGGCGGTAATCAGGACGAGTAACGCACCAAAATCAATTTATTTTCAAAAGGGATGTTCCGATCAGTTTTCGTCCTTAGCGAATGTCGAGAGGACATATTGCGGATTTTGAGAGAGAAGAGATATCAGTGAAGAGAAATGGGATAGTTTTTGAAGAGGTCGAAAAATATACTATAGTTGCTGGAAAACGATTCGGAAGGGGAGGATTGCAGGGAAGGATTGCAGTTCACCAGATTGTAAATACAGATTGTAAATACCAGATTGTAATACATCTTCACTCGATTATCAGGGGCCACAACGAATACCACTGTTGACAAAGTACCACAAGAAACAGTGAATATGCAGGATCGCATATCATTCCATCTGGACAGAGCAGTAACAGCTGAAGTAGGCAAGAAAGGCCGGATTTATTGGTACCAAAAAATTTCGCAACGGTTCCTCAGCTGCGTCCTGTCGCTTCATAAGAAAGATAACGAGTGAGAAGAATACAACAGATTTGAATTGGTGCAGAAAATCAATCCAGAAACAGCAAGGTCAGGGTTTTGGTTAAAGCTGGCTAATCAATAAAGTTATCAACTCAAACACCCTAGGCCAAGAAAGTGAAGAATGGGGAACGTTAAAGAGCAAGAAAGAGAGGAGAAAGGGAAAATCATGGAGCTAGAGGCTACCATAGCAATGTTAGGTTAACCACGTGTTCCAATTGTTTATAAAGATCTGGTTTCACTCGTCGTATATAGGCGGCCTCCAGGTAACGCAAGGTCCGAGTTGTTCGTGCCCGAACAAGTACTCGGAAGGAAGTTTTGGGGTCGACGGAGTGACCACTATCCAACAGGTGTTTCGTAATGGAGGAACGCAGGATTTTATTTTTTTGTCTTAAGAGCCATCTGGGCAGGTGCTCAATAGGCCTGGCAGCCAACTGCCTTTGCGTGCTCTCAATGTACTTGCATCCGCAAGTGCATGTGAATTCATAAATACAATTTGAAGTAGCGTGCATTGGCAAGGCATCCTTTGCCCGTGGAATCGGGAGTGGCTTATTAGGACTGCATAATACCAGTTCGGCTGCACAGTATGTCCTTTCAATGGCGGAACGCAGCCGTCGTTTGATGGTAATTAAAATATTGTCGCCCATACACGCGTGTTTTGCCGATGCTCTGCCGCTGCATGGCGCAGCTGCGAGGAGTTCGACTCGTCAGTGGGTACCCCAGCATTTCCCGAGTGCTTTCTGGTAGCAACTCTAATTTAGAAATTTTTGCTTTTTAAGTGCTTCAGAAATAATGTACGAAGTTGGAGTAGATCAGTTTATACAGCCTGGAGAGCAGATTGTCCGGTCGGAAATCGGAACCCCGCCTCCAGGTGACCAGGGCGATAACGGTTAGGCTCAAGGTTAAGGCTGGGGTTGGGGCAAGGGTAAGGACAAGAGTTGAGGTTATAGTTAGGGCCAAGTTCAAGGCTATAGTCAGCGTTAAAGCTCGGGTTCGTGTTAGAGGTTAGGGATGGGGTTAGAACGCGGGAATAGGTTTCCTTCCTGGAATTCAGCGCATGGCCACCTGTAGGCAGGTGCCCCTACTCGCATATCAAACCGCTTAGTCATATATTCAGATGCCATTTACTCATTCGGTGCCATTTTGTAACTAATCCAGAGGAGATCGCGGGATATTTCAGAAATACAGTAAGCATTAATACGAGCATAATACAAATCAGCCGCTAAATATCAAGTAAGTTAATACAATGACCCGAACATCTGCGAACTCCCGGGCTTGAATTAACTGGAAGTATATAGGGACTTTTATTCAGGAATTCAACTTGCAGCAGGCGAGATGTCAGGTATGCGGGACTGTGGGTCAGAAAGTACACATAGGCTTCATCAAGAGCATGTGCAAGCGTTGTATGAAATTTTATAAGTAAAATGAAGTAAATTATCCTTTTACGTTCAGAATCGCCGCTGTGAAACAGATAATTTCGAGCATTCTTATTATATGATATCTGAGGAAATAATTTACTCATAAACCTCGTTCACATTAACCATTGCCACGTCTTACAAAAACAGGATCTATACGCGCAAAGTTTTCGAAATTTTGCTCAGAACAGGTAGTCTTACAACTATTAAAAAGTATATCATCACCTGTGCTTGTTTATTTACTCGCCATTGGGCTGTTTTATTAAAGTTTTTATGAGATGTTATCTTAGCAGTAGATACGAAGTCTAAAAGTTAAACACTCTTGCTAACTTTTGTTAATTTAAATTCAAAATTGATTCAAAGTGTCGGCGAATACTAAAAAGTAAAAAATCTTAAAACATGAATCCCATATCTTTTTACTTCTCTTTCTCCAACTATTTATGACTATTTCGGATTTTTGTAAAAAATATGTGACGGAAAACAAGCACTGTGAGACGGCGCTTTTACCTTCTATAACAAAATCCGAACAAAATAGAGGTGCAGTCTTTCCCTCATTTTGCGAACATAGGCAAATCTGTTTAGAAGACAACCAAGTTAGGCTAGGAGCATCTGTTGCATAGGAGATGGAATCGTTCTCCAAACGCCAGAGACCCGGTTAAACGTCGTCCTTTGACGAAACTTAAGGGTTTTTCTTCGGTAACCAGGCTTTAGTTTTAATGAAGCACTTGCAGTGTCAGTTGACACGACGTTTTGCTTTCTGTTTAGAAATGTATTCAAAAGATCGATTTTTCACATCTGGAACCCCTGTACCAGAAAGCAAAAAAAATCAAAGTTGGCTCCGAGTCTTGCTAAAGTACGTTATCATTTAGGTTTACTTCGAAGAGTATTTTAGATAGTGGACCGATAAACAGGCCCATCTTAATTAAACAACATGCAGTTAGTTTGATCCGGTTGCGAAAACTATTTTCGATTAAATATCGCTACCCCGCAGTAAGCGATTGATCTCATGAAATGTTGGCCAACATTTATTTTCGATCTCCTGTAGAAACCGTGCTTGGCAAAAATGATTATTTAAGTAGCATGCATTTTTGAAAATGATTTTCGAGGATCTTATGCATTCAAGTATATTTTATAAAGAACATGAACAAAAATATTCTTTATTTCACTCTTTTAATAGGGAATCACGTCGCTTTCATATTTTATATTCGAAGCGGTAGTATTATTAGGGATCAAAATGTTTGTACTTATGAGGTTTTTAAGACCGTGCAGTGTCCATTCCTACAGCCTCGTACCTGTCCGTTTACCACTGCTCCTCATGAAATGTACAACATAGTCCGCATCCATTGCGAAATGTTGTAGACGTGAAAAATGAAGTATTTTCCTTACGTAGAACGCATACACCTTGTTGACTGAAATCACTAGGCTCTAATGCAACGGCTGATTCAGCTCTTAATTATTCGGGAATCATAAAACTTTTTTAACGCCTCGCAAGACTCTTTCTTTGAGAACAAAATATGGCGTTGAAGTGATTCTCTACCAAAAAAATGAAAGAAAGAATATTTTTTGTTCATGTTTTTTTATGAAATGTATATGAATCTATAAGGTCATCTAAAATCATTGTGAAAAATGCATGCTACTTATGTAGTCATTTTTACCGAGTACGGTCTCTACAGGAGATTTAATATAAGTGCATTCAAAAGTCGACATTCTGCCAAATCCAAAATACTATAGAATTATGCCGCGGGATCATCAATATCGTCATGTAATCTTTCCTAATCGAAAATGCATTTCAGAATTTTGCCCAAAATTTCATGAGATTGGCCACTCACTGTAAGTAGTAGTCTTTGTCTTCAACAGACAGCAACGGTTCTTTGTGAGTTTAAAGCCTTCAGAACGGAAATGAATCAAACCGGAAAACGGTATGAAGTCTGTAATGCTCCCTTGGTAAAGGTGGCAGTGAGAGCTTCTTCCTCAAGTTTAAAAAGACAGAAGGTTTAGCAGGTAACATTTTCACCCAGCAACGTCTCTCAAGAACTGCCTTTTCTAATTTTTACTTGTGCGCGAGGTCAACTTAAGATTTCTCGCTAACAGTTTTACCAGTCGCACATAAATATCCTAAATAAACCCAATTTTCTCTCTCCTGATAGTGCGCAGAATATGCCACTTTTAAATTCTCATCCATTGAACAAAGAACGGACTTAGGGCGATGCTACGCCTTCGCTGGCGCAAAAGGTTATGATTGGTCTAACGGTTTTCACCCGTCCAATTAAACGCCCCTGACAGAGGGGCCTGATGTAGCCTCTTGTCTTCTTCGGGCGACATGTTTGAGCTTGTTTGTGCAAACAACGCCCCCCCTCCTACCGAGGGCGCTGCGGGCGAGACAAAGGTGGCCCGACTGTGTCCTGCTGTGGTTTGCGTATAAAAGCTCAAAAATGACGCGCTGTACCTCAGGAGCCCTCTCGCCGTTGTGAGGACAGTCCGATCAGCATACGCGTAAGCAGTAAAAGGTTTCATCTGGACGAATAATAATGACCCTATTAATTATTACTACCCGAGTATATATCAGCGAAGTTGATAGGGACCTAAATTTTACTCATCACTAAAAGTAAAACAAATTAATTCGGTTTCTACCTTTATATACACATACAGTAGGCGGTGGGCATCACGAAATATTAAACAAATTTCTGAAATTTATTTTCGATTGGAAAGGATAATCTAGGCAGGGTTTCAATAGAAATTGTCAGGAAGCATAATCACAAAATACTTCAGTCACGCCAGGATGTCGGCTTTTGAATGAACTTTTTTCAGACCGCCTAAAAAAACCACGCGCGGTAAAAAAAATGCATAAGTGAGTAGCATGAATTTGATCCAATGACGTATATCTATCGTTATGTCCATTTAATTGTAATATGCATCTCATTAAAATTTTCTAAAAATGATATCTTCTAGCCTTAAAAAATTTTTATTTCTGAATTATTTTGAACTCGACCTGACTTCGAACTCGCGTCTAGAGTTTTTTAGGTACAAATTGTACACTTTCTATATAGGTACAGGCATACATTTCTACATGCTATTAAGCACAAGGGTTTGTGATGGGTACAGAGTATTTTGCATATTTTATAAGCAGCAATAATAACCAGGCAGGTATGTTATTATTTAAGCGAAAGTCTCAAAAATCGTATAATTATGAATTTTTCAAGTCGTAAGACACCGTTTCATGGGCAAAAATGTAACAAATGAAGTTTACTATATTATGAATAAGAAAAATAGTTTTTTCATGTTTTTATGAAATAAATTTAAATTTTTAATGGAATCGAAACTCAGCGAGCCAAATTCGTACTATTTAAGTAGTCGCTTTTGCCAAGGATGCCTTTTGCAGGTGGCTGAAAAGAGGGGCAGTCAAGATCCGGCATTTGGATGTGGTTGAAATGGTGTTGGGCTTTGTCGTATGACACCCAGGACCAAAATATTATCCTGATAGTCTCTTCTAGTCGGAAACACATTTCGAAATTCTGATTAACATTTCACGAGGTTTGTGACAGTGTCTGATCCCCAGACACCACAAGGTACCATGTTAATTTTGGAGTATTATTGCGAGAGGTGCACAAATGTATCCTTAATGGGAGCATGTTCCCTTATTTTGACATATATAAGATTCTGTTAGCCTCTATGAAAAGCATACCTGTGACTGCCATTAAAAACTTCCGTTTATGAAATGCTCCATCTGGCAAATTCACTACGACTAATTCACAAATGTCCATTGATAAAAATATGTTTTTAGAAAGGGGTGACTCATGTGTCCTTCATGGAAGAGCCATAATCACATTTTATAACTAGGATTTCATAAATTTTTTAGTTTTCACCATAATCACATTTTATAACTAGGATTTCATAAATTTTTTAGTTTTCGCTTTTAATATCTGCCTCTGGAATGGATTTTAATGTATGGTTCCCTAAACGGGACATGAGAAGCAGGACTATCCACAGAACAGGTGGCTTTGTGCCGATCTCCAATGAAGTTACGGTTAGGCTTAAGGTCAGGGTTAGGGTTAAGCTAGGGATTAGGGTTAAATTTAAAGCCAGCGGTATGGTGAGTCAGAATAAAGTTCGTGGTTAAACTAGGGGTCTGTTTAACTGGAGAGTTAAAGCTAAGGGTAGGGTTTGCGTGAGGATTGGGACGACAGTTTCGTTTTATGTTGAGTTTGTTGTTGTTTCTTCTAGTCGAAAACACATTTAGAATTTCTGATTAACATTTCACGAGAATTCTGACGATGTAGGGAATCCAGGTTCTGCATGACATCATGTTAATTTTGGAGTGTTATTGTGAGAATGACACACATTTAGCACTAATTGGAGCATGTTTCCTTATTTTGACATACCTAAGATTCTGTTAGACGCTATGAAAAGCATGTTTATGACTGCTATAAAAAATTTCTGTTTATAAAAATCTGCGTATGGAAAAGTAAGTAAGACTAACTCACAAATGTCCATTGATAAAAACGTGTTGGTAGAAAAGGGTTACTCATGTATTCTTCATGGCAGAGCCTTATTCACATTTAATAACTAGGATTTCATAAATTTTTTAGTTGTCGCTATTAATATCTGCCTCTGGAATGGATTTTAATGTATGGTTCCCTAAACGGGACGTGAGAAGCAGGACTATCCACAGAACAGGTGGCTTTGTGCCGATCTCCAATGAAGTTACGGTTAGGCTTAAGGTCAGGGTTAGGGTTAAGCTAGGGATTAGGGTTAAATTTAAAGCCAGCGGTATGGTGAGTCAGAATAAAGTTCGTGGAGAGTTAAAGTTTAGGGCAGGGTTGGAGTGAAGATTGCGGAAACAGTTTTTCATGTTCTGGTTTTTGTTGGGGCTAGAATACGGGAATATTTTGCCCTCTCCGAAATTATGCGCACGTCCACCTTTATTCCCTGGACGGGGCGTTCCTTTCCTCATGTTCTGCTTAAGAGGCCATATAAGTCAATACTGAAAATTTTAACGACGTCCATCTGCTAAGAAAGGCAAGCTCTGATGATATGATCACGTGTCGTGTTCTTATTTACTTGTGCACCCTTGCAGTCCTACAAATAGAGAGAACTTTCGGCGAGAAAAGATCTTTCGTCTATGTGTACAAACTGTCCGTTCATTTATTAACTCCAAACTTTCCGTTTTCTCACAATTTGAAAAGACGCTCCCGAGCTCGTTCTTTAAATTCTGCTTTGTGGATGGCTCAAAACCACAGCACAATGAGCAAGGGACCAGTTGGTTATGGGACTTGTGGACGAATGTGTTGTCACTGAAGGACGTCAGGGCGAAGCACTTGTTAGACTTTAAGGAATTAAATCGATAAGTGGGAACCCCGATTTACTTTCAAAAATAACTAAACAAAATAAATCATGCCGTTAGATCGCTAACTTAACGCTTTTGCAGTCACATCGGCCTTTTAAACTAGGGATAACCGCAGCTTTTTAAGCATCAGCGTTGTAACATACCCTGATTTTCAAGATACATTTTAATTAGCCCTCGTCTCATAAACCTAGGTGCTTAAAAACATGTTTATTTATACTTTTTTCAAAATACTACAAGTGTCTTACCTGAGCTGTAAAAGCAGTCAACAGCAAATTTTGTGCCCTATACATTTCCACTGCGTAGATAGATATCAAAGAGCATCCTCGTTAGAAATTTACGTACCACTTAACTGGAAGTTAATAAAATCGGAATAGTAGCCTTGAAAAAGAGTATGACCCGCTTGTTAGCATAAGGGACACCGAAAAATCGTTTGATCCGCAGTTTCCTCATGGCGGTCAGCCCTGATAGCATGCGGCTATCAAACACCATGCCGTATGAGCCAAAGAGGTCAAAAACCCGGTTCGTTCTATTTTACGTCCCTGGAATTTTCAGCAAATACCGTATTTGGTTGTCGTTTCTCTGTTTTTCATTCCTAATGTGCGAGTGTGGCGCATAAGGATATGAAATTTTGTTATATCACGGAATTCGCATATTTTTTTCAATTCAAAACCAAATGTCTAACAGCAGAAAGGCTGGTTACTTGACGCGATTGCCCAACCCGTAAACGCTGAAAATATTAGTCCCAAATGTACAATAGTGATCACTCCACAACTACTGACCATCTTAAGGTCTTCAGAGCCGGTATGCTTATAGTTATAATCCTGCCTTGTTTAATTTCTGAGAAAATAACTGCATGAACTTGAAGTAAATTATTCGGAACGGAACTTTTTCAGCACGATTCGAAAGTTGATATAATTATTTGAGAGGAAATCCATCAGCTACTGCGGAATAACCGCGTAATATTCACATGCCGCCAACAGGCAGATATTATCATAAAATTGTGAAATTAACTACCAGACTGACGACACAGGTATTAGCTAAAAGCCCAGGCGCGCGTTTTTCGCTGATTCGTGTCGATGCCTGGCGCAGTTGCGAGGGATTCAGCTCATCACTGGGTCCCCTCAGCGTTGCCCGTGTGTTTTTCTGGTATATGAACTTCAGTTTCATCCCGCCTTATTTAATTCCCGAGGAAGTTAATTCGCGAACTTGGAATAGATTCTTCGCAACTGGTGTTCATATACCAGAAGTCACGCGGGGTATGCCGGGAGACCCATTGATGAGCCGAACCCCTCGCAGCTGCGTCAGGCAGCGGCACAAGATCGGCAAAACACGCGTGTCTGGGCTTTCAACTTCTACCTGTGCTGTGAGTATGGTGAATAACTGCATAGTCATATGCATGTTATCATCGCAAATTAAAATTCAGTTGGGCAGCCACTTATGCCTCTCAAAAATATAGTGAACTATGCCAAAGTTGCCCGACTCCCCGAACCCCGATACTCATCTTCGGCCTAGCCAAGTACGATCGAAATGCATTAATCACTTCTGAATTGGCGAGAAAATTCTGTGGTCAGGCAACCCCTTTCTGCGGTTTCCTGGGAACGCTTAGACAACTAAAGGTTCTTATAGGTCTCACAGATTTCAGCCACCCTGCACTTTGTTTTGCAACTAATACGGATCCGTGAACGCCACTCCTCTGTCGCTTTGGGCTTTCTCGACTGCAGTCGACAAAACATGGGACTGTAAATCGAGCAGCCGAAGAGTTAACTCTATTCCTCAACGACAAACTGGCGGGGGTTGAAATTCCGGGTCTTTCTGGATGCTGGTTGGCGCACCTATTTTTAGTAAGTGTTTGGCAGGGGTTTGGATATGAATTTGAATCCACTGGTGGCCAGAATGCAAGCGCAAGAACGAAATAAAGACTCAGAAGTTGCATATGCCGCCTCAAACGGAAAGATGAGAAGAAGAAAAAGAAGAAGAAGAAGAAGAAGAAGAAGAAGAAAGTGACACGACTGTTGGGACGAAGATTCTTTTCACCCGACAGTGGCACAACGACTACATCCTATAAATACTGCACTACTTGGGAGTCCATTATCCACACATTTAGCTATCTCTGAATTCGAAACGTTAGGTTGATAAAACTTTTGTCTAGTTGATCGCGTCCCATGAAAAGTGTCTAGACGACGACAACAAGTATGAAATTCGAAGGTCGTCACCCCACCAATCGCTATCGCCTTGCCCGCATACAGAGTTGGACTCCTGCACTGCCCAGAGATAACTTAAGGATGCATCTCTATGAACATTTGTTATATCAACCGCTTCGCTAAACAGACAGAAGCCGAAAACAATAATTTAGAGGGACTACTACCCCCACTACACGAAGAAAAACACTTGACGGTTTATATACTCACGTTATTCATTTACCTCGGCTCAAAATGAATGGCAAACAGTGCCTCTAAAAAAATAATGTCAACCAAGTTGTCATACACTGCAGAGGTAGGGGAATCAAGCCCAGTTTTCAAAGCATCTCGGTTGGACATGCTTTGTTTTGACAGAGGGAGATTGAAAACCGTGATATCATTCAGCCTAACTTTCATTTTTCCCTCTAGCTAAATAAAATGGCTGGTTTCAGCAAGCTTTTGTGATTCCGTGGAGGGCTCTGATGAAATTAGCGTGATTTCCTAAGGGAAAACTGGGAATACCGTGGGCTGCTTCACTGTGCACCACGAAGTTGTTACACTGTGTTCGCTGTAACAGGATTTCCATGTAATATTTCAGCATGGGTTCGCTGTGTTATAACCCACCGCCATCATCAACAGTCTGGATACAAATGTCAAACTGTAGGTCTCCAAGGTGTTAGTAACTGTAGCGCAGCCCTTTTGACCCCGATGCATCGTCGTCTGTCATGTTTGGGGCCAGTTAACCGATGTCGAAACATTTTCATCGACACGATTGCATGTTATTTTTTTCCAGATTGCCTCCTTGTAATTACTCGTAGGCCTCAACTGATTTGCAGCAAACCTTTGAGTCTCTTCGAAAAATTTCGTTTTTGTTTCAGCTTTGAAATATCAATAGGATGGTTCTAGAATTCAAAAAATTTACTACAGTAGGCAAATTAACAAAAACACGCAGATGATACTGTTGAATGATTGCCCGAAACTTTTCCTCGCAGAGTACTCGATTCACGCACAGAAATGCGCCTTCAACCGAAGGCCCTGTTGAAGTGAAACCCTCCGCAACTCAGTTACCTAAGGCGGGAAAACTCACGAATATCAAATGATTGGCAAAGAGCATTATCCTTTTGACAAGGACAAGGACAGTAAAATAATCGGGACTTGCATCTCCCCCGCAAACCGGCTTTCATGATTAAACGATTCGCCAATACTCAAATTTTAATTGACCAACTCTTGCTAAAGCCATATTTCCCAAATTAAATTTAAACAAGGAAAAACAAGCAGAAAAACAATCAAAATACAATAACGCCCTATATTTTCTTATATATTGTCTAACTGTGAGTGCGTATTGCACATTTGTACACCTGGCGGATAAAAGAATATAGACCGCGGGTCAATCAAACGGATAGCCGAAGTCGGCCAAGCTATGATAGAAAAGGGGGGACGACGGACTTGGTAGATGGTTGACTGTTCGTGACCCCTATTGCCCATACGAAGCTTGTTTGCTTTGGGAAACCAATGCATTGGTGTGCGCCCATTCCCGATCTGCAGCGACAGGGCATGGCAGGTGGCGAGGAACTGATGAACTTCGTTTCGATGAAGTGCTTATGTGATCCATCTGGTAGACCCCAGTAGTGGACCAACTGCGCCAGGCTTGTCTGTGCGCATGTTTGTGTTTCCGGTTCTAGCTGGTGGTCAGGGTTATGATTGGCTGAATGAAGGCTCAATAAGCCTAAAACAGTGCTGTATCAATCTACCCCCAGACTCTGCCGACTCCCCTCTACAAAATGGTATGTTTACTATCACGTCTGCAACAAGCGTTCCCGGTTGAATAGACCATCACGAAGTTTATGAAATCATTAACGTCTACATGTGCCATCACCTTCGCCTTTCCCAGCCTTTTTTGTCTGCCTCCTAGTTGCTTGAATTTATCTTTGCGCGCCCATCCCGCATGAAGATCTGATGACTATTTTTTTCCTTAAACAGATCCCTCTGCGATCGGAGACAGCATGAACCGAATTAATTTCCTTACCATAGTCTGCATGTTACTCCTCTGTCTCATCACGGCAGAAGGCCACCCCGCCGCTCTTCAACGCGCGCTGCGTCAAGCCAAGACTTCTGGACATCCGTATGTATGCTTTACTGAGTCCGAGTTCTCGGAGGTGTTGAAACAGGGGAGCAGTGATCAGCAACTACGGAAACGAGCACCTGAGCTCATCTTCGAGGTCGAATAAAGACCAACAACTTTTGCCAGCTCTACCGGGTTTTGAGACAAATAAATTTCCTTATTTACGATGTACACAGATGCTTCTTTCTCGATCTCCGCAAAGAAATGTGATGTGAGGGCGTCAACAAAGTCTGAGCCTACAAGGCATTCTTCTCACCAAAATCCAGTGAACAAATGAAAATGTTGACCCAAACCTCCGTCGGCTAGGTACACTAGAATTAACTAGCTATTTACCATATCGATACTTTTGTTACAACCATACACAATAAGTCTCCAAAATTTACTTCCAGTTGTTAATCTTAGAAGCATGGTAGAGGTGAAATGCGGTTCAACCAAATTCAAAGTATTCTAAAAGTCAAGGGAAACATGTTGAACGGGCAGATCGCTGTTCGTTTTGGTCAGGAATGGGTCAATCTTATTGTTGACTTCTGAACTCTGGGTCTAAGCATTAATGTGGATTCTGCTTGTGTAGTTAATAAAAGGAAAATTCGGCATATTTAACATTCGGGAAACACACGGCATTCGAAATATTAGTATTTTAAGTTAAAATAGCGGAGTCGAAGTAAATGTAGCATAGTCGACTATAGTATTAGTATACTCGATTTCCTGAAGAAGGAAGACAGCTGATTTGGAGAAGTAGTTTAAAACATGCAAAAAGAAATTCTTTTGATGAACACCTACCTGCAAAAACTCGGTAACCTTCAGAACGAGAAAGTGGGCATTTGACGGAATAACAAAATCTCCTTCAAAGAAATGCTGTTTTTCGTTCCATCGGACTGTAATTTGGGTCGGTGAATAAACTCGCCTTGTTGCAGTAGAACCCAGCTACCGGACGCTGAAATTAAAAATACTTCGGAATTGTCGGAAGGAACATTCAAACCGCAGTTGTCACATTGACCCCGTGTTTATGATGAGCAGATTTGGGCCTCTCGACGACGTGTATCCGCACAAAAATCGCTTTTAGTCGTATGGGGGTGCCGTGGACCGATATTCGCTTGTATGAAAACAGTGAGATCTTCCGCCTTGCTCATTAGCTGTGGGGTCTAAAGACCGGCCGGGCGGTCACATGCGACTAGCAATCAATAAGTGTAAAGTGTTTACCAAGAAGGACGGGCACAACTTAAGGGCCACCTCGATTTCCAGTTTGGAAAGGATTATTTTTTATATCGAAAACAGGCATCAAACGACAAGGGCAAGTCGGTTCTTTCAAAGAACTTCCATTGGGCTTCTCTTATTGGACTCTCTGAACCTGTTCAATCGTCCCAAGCGATATTTAGTGGACTAAAAATACAGTAGGTGGGCCAACTCATGGAATGTCGACCGAGACTCAGAAATGCGTTCTCGTTCCGAAAAGATTGCTTAGGGTTGTAAAACCCATCGTCATGCAGCATAATTCTATAATAATTCAGTTACCTCAGGATGTCGGCTTTCGAACGAACTTCTTTCCGACTGCATGCAAAACTGTACCTTGTAAAAAAGGACTACTTAATAGCATGCATTCTTCTCATTGATTTTCAAAGACCTTTTTAATGATATTTCATGGAGAACATGCATAAAAATATTCATTCTTTTAATCATTCGGTAGGACACTACGTTTTCTCTTAATTCTATGCTCGAAAAAAGGATATAATTCGGTTTCCAAAAACGTTTTCAATCCCCGAATAGTTTTGAAACCCACCTGCCATTACACTTGCATTCAGGGTTTCCAAATTACAAGCCGTATATTCCCCGCGTACGGAATACTATACATTTCTTTACGGTATTATGAGATCATATAGAGTTCGTGAAATGTAGCAGTAGATTCCAGCCAGATTGTTAACTTTACAAGCCACATTCGTAAATGCAGAGACAACGATTTACGAACGGCCACTTCACGGTTTTTAAAAGTCCCACAATTAAAAACATTTACATCCGAAGTATAACTTCCTCCAAACATAAAATCAGAAAAAGACGCCGTTTCCTACCAAATGAGCAGAAAAATGAATATTTTTAATCGTGTTTTCCATTAAATATAGTTGAATTTTTAAGGGCATCGAAAATTAATGAGAAAAATGCATGCTACTTAAGTAGCCATTTTTTGCGAAGTACAGTTCTTGCATGCAGTCGGAAAGAAGTGCATTCGAAGACAGGCGTCCTGATGTAACTAAAGTATTATAGAATTATGCTGCAAAATGATTATTTTTACAAATCTACTTAATTAGTCTTTTCGAAATGAGAACGCATTTCGGTATTTCGGTTGACATTTCATGAGTTAAAGCATTTGTCTCTCTTCGCTCTGCATACTATGCCTCCATGAAAATCAAGTGGAATCGCTCTGCGGTGACAATTGCGATCTTGGTCTGCGCGCGCCGGAAGCTTTCTGCAAAGAGGTCAAATTCGTTGGGGACGAAGCAACTTTCATTGTGCAAATTTACGAATATGGCAACCTAGCTCGCCGTCAGACGAGCGTGTAGTGTACAAAAAATAGTTAACTTTAAACTGCGCGTTTCCCCTTGATCGCGATAGGTCTTGAATCCAATGACTTATTTATTTGTGTTAAATTTGACACCGTTGAACACATTGCATGCAAATGGAGTTAGTGTTTTACTGGCCGTTATTTTGCAAGCTCTCGAAATATTTGACACTTTATGCGCTTCACGAACTAAAGTTTCCCGTAGATATTTGCGACTTAACTGGTTTTCGGGCAGACTTGTATCATTTAAATGGAGTTTTCAAGAACTTTTCCCATTTACCCCAGGTACACTGATTAACCAATGGGCCTGTTAATGAATGCCTCATGTGAGTGCATTGCCTCCAGGAACACATGACGCTTCTTTGTTAGGCAGGCATCAATGCTGCGGGTTTTCTTCCATGCAAATTTGTGTCTTGCGTCTAGGGTGTGCACGGCCATCTAGGATAAGTAGTCTCTTCTGTCCATAACTGGCTGGTATTAAGGTTCACGGATTGATAGAGAGCTCACGGTCTGGACACTATCCGCACACGGTGCTTTGTTCATCTTTTTCCTGTTTAAATGTCCAACCTTGTTAGGATGTACAAGCTGGGTGCACAGAGTTGTTATAAGCTTGCGCGCTAGCTGTAAGTGGGGATTTTCATCTGCCTGTTCAAAGGCATCCTCTGCATAAAGAAGAGTTTCCCAGCCGGTAAGTTGTGACGCCTAGGAGATCGCGGCTTTGAAAATACCTTTTTCCAGGCACTGTTCTATCTGCATGCATCGACAAATAAAGTCGGAGGGATATCCATTTTGAGGGAACTGCTTTAAAGTGTACTTTATTCCACTTTGATATGTTTCTCCATCGAAACAGTGCAATTTGGCCTGACGTAAAAAGTTTTTAACACAGCTGCCTTTTGTGGGAGATGAGGTGGTGGTGCGGCCTCCCATCAACCTATCGGTGTGCGAAGACACTAAGGAATACCAGTAGAAGAGACCAGATCCAAACCCGTCCGGCCCTAAATTTTGGTGAGCTCTGCCGTACGTGAAGAACGTCCCGGAGGCCGTCAGCTGCCTTCACACTTGGAGTTGGGATTGCACACAAGTCAGAAGCAACTACCAGAAGCCAGATCATGAGTCCGAAAGACCCACTGTCACGACAGAAAACGTTTTAATTCGTTAACTGGATCTGCTGTAGTTGCAGACAGAGGAACAGAGAAACAGGGAAATTGCTTTGGACGTGGATGGCCGCACACGCAGCAGCAGTGAGGATAGAAGTCGCTAAGTCTCCGATGGCGGCTCATTCTAGGGTAGCCGGCCACGTTTTTAAGTTTCAAGAGGCCGAAATCCTCGCAAAAGGTGACATACGCCTGAGCCACGGGCTGCTCGACCTCCGGTCTTGTGACATTCTATGGGCAGGAGAATCAGTCACGTGGGGAGGGTGCGAGCGAACAACAGTTCCGGTGACAGCGAGGCAAACGGCCGAGTAATTATCACGCCAACACCCAACATGGATGATGAAATCACGACAATCAACGACCTGGACGCGGCCGTGCGAGCCATCATCGCATCAATCACGACCACCAGTGGTGATCACGAGTGTTGTTAATTATAGTACGCACGAGGTTCCATGACAGCTATATTCTACAAATATTGCAGTATTTGTATCTCCACCAGCCTTTTCTGTGACTGTCTCTGATGATGGGTTCGAGTGAATATTCGAACCGCCAGACTGATAAATTTCTTGTTGCAGTGGTCGCATCTTCTTCATCTGAAAACATAGGAATGGTAGTCGTCCCTAGAATCCTGTTTTAGGAATTTAGCAATAACGCAAGAAATTAATTTTCTTCCTGCGAGGTGTTTTATAACTTCTCAGTGTGTAAGTTCTGAGATCCTTTCGGATAGGAGGTTAGGGGTGTGCAATTCGAGCTGTCTTTTAATATCGATATCAACTTCTCTATGCAGTCTGCCTTTTTTAAAATGACAATGGAATCTCCTTCGTCGGCAGGTAAAATGGCGATGTTTTCTCCCTCCTTGAGTGAATTTTATACATTATTTTTTGTCCGGAAATAGTATTGAGATTATATTATAGGTATTTGCAGTTGATACAGCATTACTGCTATTTGCAAACCACTCATTCTCCGTAGTGTTTGCTAAAAGCAGAATTGCTCCATGACTGGTTAGAGCATCTGAGTAATTGAAGTCGGGTGGATTGTTCTTCATTTTTTTGCATGGTGCGTTCTTCTCTGTTGTCGTTAAGCTTCTTTAAAACAAGTTTTACAATTCCCGAATAATTTTGAGCCAGATCTGCCATTGAAGTAGCGTTTAGCGATTTTAGTCTACAAGGGCGCATGCTTTCCGCGTAAGGAAAATCACATATTCCTATATGCCTTTAAGAAGATACCAAATAGAGTTCATAAAATTTCGCAATGGATGGGGACAGTGTTGTAAATTTCATTAGGAGCAGTGGTGAACGGACAGGTACGATGTAGACTGAATGGACATTGCAAGGTCTTGAAAATCTCACACTTAGAAACTTTTTTAAAACCTAAATATACACTTTCTTCGGGTATAAAATC